TTTTGGATTTGTTGGGCATATGGTTTGTAATATTGGAGCTCTATAATTACCTATTGATTGGTTATGTTCCCTTAGACCTTGACTGACTATTTAAGATTTATTTTTTGTTTTTCGATTTTTGGTTTACAGTTCTAAGAAGGTTCTGTTGGATAATGGAGTCACTGTCCAGGTAATGCTCTAAGCAAATGCTCATAGCATCCTATTTGTTCCTACAATATGGCTGATAGCTTCAATACAGCTTCATTTATCTATTTTGTGTTTTATGTGGATGAGACGTGTCCAATTTGGAATTTTTTATTTGTGCTCTAAGAAGAATGCAAAGAAGTGGGAAAAAATATTCTTGAAACTTCCAATTAAGTTGAGTAATGGGTAAAGAAAATTAGATACAGATGAAACTGTATATGGTGTTTAATGACTTGTCCTATGAAGGACATTGGACTGTTGGAATGTATAAGCTTGTCTTTATGGTTTTCCGTTGTTTATAACCAGCTGGGCGATGGCCATAGATGTGTAAATGAACTGAGACTTGATAAAGGTCAACTTGAGAGACATCTCGAGCTCATGTCTTTTTTTCTTTTTTTTGGTTATATCAAAATTCATTTATTAAGATTAAATAACTGGTTATTTGCTTCACATATGCGTGCTTGTGTGCGAGTAATATGTACATAACTAGTAATATTATATAATACATATAACTCACTTTTTAGCTTGAGGTCCAGTTTACCAGTAGTAATTGGTCTCAACCTACCACTTCATTTGCTTCTTTATGAGCTGTTCACAGTATTATGGAGAGCATCTATCTAGCTGTTGCATGCCTTACAAGTCACAGAAGATGCATGATTTATTACTAATATTTTTTATTCTTTTCGCCATATCTTGTTAATAGGTCCCAGCTCATATCACAGTTGGAGACAAGATTGTCGTCAATACCAGTAACAACACTTATTCTAGCAGGTCCGTTAATAAAGACCGCGTTTATAATTAACAATTGGGATCTCTCTCGTCCATATGTAAATATTAAGGCTTCTTATTTATTTATTTATTTATTTGCCCATTGTGTGCTCTTTTTAAATCTTTTTAAAATGAGTTAGAAGTGTTTGGTTATGCCTGTCCTTGTATCCGTCTGCTACTGATCACGGTTGCCGTTTGAATTTTCAGGGCCTGAACAATATCTTGGTGAACTTATGTTCCCAACAGGATTCTTTTTTTTCAGCAGATGCGGATGTTTTCAGGTCCATAGTTTTTTCTGAGTAATTCAAAATTCTCGCGACATATGGTGCCTTAAATTCGATTAAATGTATGTCATTTCGGTTTATGGAACTGCATTTTCTTGCCTGTCAAATATGGCATTGTTGAGAGTAGTCGAGCCACTTTAAATAATCTTTGTCGGGTATGATTCCCTATCAATCCTTCATCTCACATATGAGTAGAACTGTTGAATGCTGCTGACACTAATTGTTAATGTTGAGGAAGATGGTTTACGAGATTGAAGAAGCGAACCACCATGTATAAATAATAATGCATCTCTTCATTCAAGAGTTGGCAACCAAAGGGTGATATAACATGTAAGCACAGGTTTAGTTAAAGAGGTCTGGTATCACGCATTCGGTAATAATGATAGTATTATACACCAAACAAGCCAATTAATTAGCAGAATGTTTTTTTTTTTTTTCAACGGCAATAACAAACTTTCATAAAAACTCCAAATAAAAATTACAACCGAACAACCAACTTTCATAAAAACTCAAAATAAAAATTGACAATCGAACAACCAAATTGAAGTTACAGTGTAGAATACCAAAAGCAGAAGAAAAAAGGCGTCTTCCCAAAATTTTTCCCAAATTTCGTTGTCCTTGTCCCGTTAACAAGCTTTCCGTCGTCTTCCCCGGTGGGGAGCGGCGAGTACGCGGTGGTGGTTCGTCTGTGTCTCGCAGCCCGTTTCCGAGAGTAGTGCTGCGCGGGGGAGGGGGGGCTTTTCCACCGGGGAGTCCGTCGTGCCTTCTTTCCGGCTGCCGTCTCTGGTGCTGGAAGTGAGTGGCGGGTGGATGGTTCTCCTCTTTATCCACTTTGGTGGCGCTCTACCGCTCTCTCGGACGAGGATGCGACTACGATTTCCGATTTAG